CAGTGCTTGGTTTGGGGCTCCTCTAATTTTCATCACCAGTGCTCTTCTTCTCCACTGACTAAAATACACCCACTCTTGTGACCACACCCTCAACTTTGTCCTTACTGCTCCCACTCAGAAATCTTGACTTGACACAACCCCTCAGCTGCCCAGCATCCTTTCTCAGTAACTGCTAATACACCACCTCAACCCCATCTGGATTTCCTGTCTTGTGCCCTAATTTCTTTTTGTTCTTAGTCACTGTCTTAGTTACCTACTGCTGCTATGACAAAAATATCACAAATGGATAGCTTTAAAGAACAGAAATGTAAAATTTTCTCATAGTTCAGAGGTTACAAGTCCAAGTTCAGGGGAAAGCTCTCTGTCAACTCTGGGGAAGATTCGTGTTTATTTCAGCTTCTGTACCCACGACTTTCCTCAATTCCTTGATGACCTTCACATGACATCTATTTTCTCCTGTTTGCGCTAGCTTGTCTGTGTCTAGGCTGCTCTTTATAGCACTCAGAAGTGATTAGGTTTGAGATACACCCTACACTGATACAGCCTCATTAATATAGCAAGGGAAAGCCTATTCCCAAACAGGATTAATTCATAGGTACAGGGAGGTCAGGACTCCAACACATTATTTTTTGGGGAACAAATTCAATCCCTAGCAGCTGACTCCTCTCTTTAGTGCCTACCCTACTCTGGTTCACGTCATCTATCCCCTTGATGATAGTATTTTCCATGATCCATGCCACAGGAGGCTCATAAAACCAAAACCCTGAATGAGTCCAATTGTCTCTGTTTCTGCCCGTATTTGGGTTGCTGATAGGAAAGTAAAATCACAAAACCATATAGAAAAGGCGACCCTATGAAGTTGTAATGTAATGTTGTTGTTGTTGTCGTGTACCGTCGAGTCAATTCTGACTCATATCAACCCTACAGGACAGAGTAGAACTGCCCATAGGGTTTCCAAGGAGTGGCTGGTGAATTCGAACTGCCGATCTTTTGGTTAGCAGCCTGAGCTCTTAACCATTGTGCCACCAGGGCTCCTGAATTTCTAATAGTAGCTAATATTTAATAATAGTTAAGCACTAACTGCATGCTTAGTAAGTGGATTATTTCATCTTCAGAACAATTCAATGGGATAGATACTAATATTATTCTCATCACCCGGCAGAAAAACTGAGGGACTAAGTGAGATGGATTCAAACACAGGCAGTCTGGCAGTCCAGAGGCCATACTCTTGACCACTGTGCCACACAGTATTATCAATCTTAACTGGGCCCTCAGTGTTGCCCATAACCATCTGGCTGTGTTTTCCTGGAAAGCCTTAATTTTCCACATCTCTCAAACTGTTGACTTCCTTGCCTTTGCCCTCACTCAGCAGATGACTGTGCCTGCTACTTACAGAGAAAATAGAAGCCATCAGAGTATTCTGCTTGCCCTCCTGCCACCAAATATTCAAACTTACCTGCATCCACCTCCTTCTTTGCTGCCTTCCTCTGTGTTACAACGTATTTCCAAAGATGGAAAAAAGGCACAACTACAAGATAACAGACATGTTTTCTTCCAAGGGAAGAATGAACCATTTTATTTAGGGGAATGTTAAAACAAAGCCATATACAATTTGTAACAAACACAATACAATTTTTTGTTCCCTAGTCCTGAATAATTACAGTATATACAAATTCAACAAGGCACTGGTTCCCTCAAAGAACACAAATGAGTATTCTTTTGAAACAAACAAGACAACAAAACCCCTTATATATTGCCAATTTTTCCCCAAAAGATATGGCATTGTTTTTTGTTTTTTTGACGAGAGAAATTATAGTCGCTACACTAAATCACTTCTGATGCCATTTCTTTCATTCTCACTGCTGTGACTGAGTTTTTTGTTTTGTTTTGTTTTTTAAGGAGGTATAACTACTGAACACACTCAAATTTAAAAAACTGTACTTCTTTCACCGCCTTTGCACCTAACAAACTGGAAGAGACCAACAACGTAAGACCAGAACTTCTCCCGAATATGCATGACTCTACAAACATCAAATTCGGCCATCATTAAGTACTTGCCACACTCGAATACACACCAATTGAAATGTGTCAAAGAATTCCCTGTAAATAAAATCTTAGCTTTTTGTCTAAAAAGCCTTATGTCTTGGGAATAAAAAGAATGGTCACTAGTGACTTCTGAGCTGTGCCTTCCTGGAGGTGAAAGGTCTGTCTCCTCACACGCAATGTTCATAACACTGTCACTTGTGATTTAACAATCTTCACACTTCCATAAATAAATATTATGTTTCATTTAGTACTTTATCATCCATAATATTTTACTTTCTAATCCACATAATGGAGTTGTGCCAGACCCCAAACTGAACATAATATTTATATATACATATATATTTATATAATATATACACGTATATAAACTATAAACCCGAACATCTTGGCATACAAAACTTATAGTATCTAACAACTAGTATTTTAGAATTCCTCTGGGGGGAGTTAGATGAAAATCTTAGTCTTTGAAATAGTCGCAAAAGTGGTAAGCAATCAACTAAATTATGAATTTCTAAGTTCCCACTTATTCCATTGAAAAACAAAACAAACAACAATAACAAAAATAAGGTATAATAAAATTCACTTCTGGGCAGCTAGAAATTAAAAAAAAAAAAAGGATTATTTGGAAATGAGTAGGTAGTCTTTACGAACAATTTAGTATTCGGCAAGTAAAGTGAATTTTGGTAAAATATAGAGAAAAACCTATTCATAAATAAATTCTTATTAAAATATATTGAATAATAGGTAAGTGGGTCTTTTTAAGTATTTCAGCAATAATTTTGAAATGTTCATAGTTAGTAAACCAGGTTTGGAATTAGAAAGTAAGCTACTGATTTTTCAAAGCAACCGCACAAGTAATATAGAAGAAATCTGGGTACTATTTTAACTTCCTCCCATTCTTTGTGGGAACCAACACCTTCCTAGAAATCTAGTTGACTTTCAAATCCATCACCTCCCCACAAAATATTCTGATTTTAAATTACTCGGGAAACTTACTAAAAAAAAGTATATTTCCCTAACAGTAAGCCCAACCTCATTTAAATTTAGGGAAAACTCAGAAAACACAAACATGCTCCCACGTAACTGGCAGACGTGTTTGCTAATTTGTTTGCAGATGATCTTATTACAGGCACTTGAGTTTCTCTCCCAGGCTCATATGATTATCACCCTCAGTTCTAACCATATACTCCTTCTAAGCTACCATAAAGAAAAAAATCTGACATACAGAGAAAGGAATTTTCAAAATGCTACTGAGGTTATTTTAATAGCAGTAAATGCAATATTCTCATCCCAATTATATTTGGAACCAAATTTCTAATCTTTAAAAAAAAGGTTTTTTCCTCCAAATTCAAGGCCTAAGAAATTCTTCTTTCTTAGTTACAAAAGAGATAAGGCATTGGGAAGTGAATGTTAAATATACAGCATTTGTGTTTCTCCTTATGATTCTGCCAAACTGTAAGCACAGCTCACAGTCCCTCACTGCTCTAGGATGTTTTCTGGATGAACAAGTCACCAGCTGCAAGCCTACTTCGGAAGTGAGAAAAATATTTTCTCATTTTTCATGCAGCTGTCAAATTTTGAAAAATCCTCCATCTTTCAGTCACTGAGTGGTGAAAATGTGTTGTAAAACACTGCCCCCTGGAGTATTCTGTAAGGAACATCTTTTTTTAAAAGGCCAAGGGAGAAGTATTTTCAAATTCTTTACTGAACATTACAGAATTTCTGAGAAGCAAAAGACAACCACGGAGCGGAAATGTAAATGAATAAAGTTGACAGGGATATGTACAACTTGAAACTTTATTATGTTCCTGGTGCTAAGGAGCACTAGCCCAGTCAAGGAGTTCACCGATGTTGTTCAAAAGTAAAACCCCGTAGAAGTGAGTAGGTTAAGAGATCTTTTGCACAAGTACCACAGAGAAGAAGAAAAAAATAAATTAAAAAGTGAAATGAACAATATGAGAATAAAATAAAATATAGTCACCTTTCCTAAAACGTGAAATTATTGCTTAAGATGTACATACTCGTTCCATAACTATTCTAGAATAATAAATCACAGCAGCCACAATATTTTGTGACCTCCACCAGCTCTCTTCTGCTGTCTCATCTGGAGGTTATATCTATTTTTAAATTAAAATTTAGTTAAATTAACCCGACAGATGCTTCCTCTCCTTCCCTTACCTCACACAAAAGGGAAAGACAATAACAAAAAAGAAAACCTTCTTTATCTATACAATATAAGGTGTGCATACTTTTTTCCTTGTGCTTCTGAGATCGGCTCTTTTGCATATACAAGACACAAGCCATTTGCACTCCCACACTCATCCCCTACTTGTACACATGTTCTTCTTATAACCCAAGAGCAAATTATTTGTTTTAAAAGCACCTTGTCTTAAACACAATGGATGGCAGTTTTATTTAATATTGATCCTTCCATTTGAGAGATAAAAAGCATACACGGATCAATTCTTTGCACATAAAAAAAGCTTTGTTTGTGTTTAATGAAAAGCAAGGGATTTTTACCATGAAAGAAATGCCTAAGAGAATCAGAAACATGAAGTGGTTCTGAAAAACAGCATCAACACTTTTCTATCAGAATCACATAAAACCTTCATTTGTTCCATATTGTCTGAAGCTGCAAAAGGTCACCTGCAGGAATTCCAAAACGTGGTCCCAGACAGGTGGTGTGTACATCCAGGTGCATTCACATTGCTGAAGCCGCCCCAAATGCGGGCTGGCCAAAGTGGTCTGAGGAGATGGGTGGGGGGCAATGGATTTAAAATGAGTTCTACTCTAAGTTCTCCAACGTAACAGACTGTCTTCTGGTTTGTGGAGTGCAATACCATTTTACCAATCGGGGGAAAAAAAAAGTATTTTAATTTACTTTCCAGCAGTGTTTCTGGGAAGAACTTTTGTTATTACTCAAACTATAATAGTATAAACCTTAAAACATCTTCATTTGTTTCATTTTGGCAAAATTAAAGCATCTTAAAAAAAAAAAAAAGGCAATCCCAAAATACAGGGCTTTCTTAGAAAGCAACATGCATCGTATCTTGAACAAGCTACCCAAGTGGTTTCTTCCTCCTACAACCAGACACGGATGAATCTGTTTCTGAGAACATCTCTGTCTTTGTCCAGGGTTCTTTCTCCCTGAGGGGTGGGGTCTGAACCCACTGGGAAGCAGGATGGTGTTCAAGGCTTGTACCGTGGATGCTTCTTTAACATCTTTTGCCATCTTTTGCTTTGCCCACAAACAGAAAAATATCTATTGGCTTTCTCAAGAGATGCTTATTTTCCCTTCAAATCAGAGTTTAATGTCCTGGGACTCTGACATTTTGGCCAGTGTTTTCTTCACGCGCAGGGCTGTCAGCCGTGACGCAGGGTTGTGAGCCCAGCACTCTGTCATGAGTTTCCCCATCTGCCGTAGACACTGGGAAGAGAAAAGTAAAATTGGAGTAACGAGAAATGCATTTTCTCCAAGTTTTGACACCTGACATTTGGCTTTTACCGTGTTTCTGCACTCTGAATGTATTTTTAAAAGATACTCTTCAAACAACGAAGATATAAAATTCAATTAGAAAACTCCGCTTTCATGAAAAATTGTATACGACCAAAACCGATTTTCATGTCTTCCTGTGATGGGAGCCAGCTGGTGGTTTAGCTGGTTGTAGAGGGTGTCTCTGCAAGTCAGCATTAAACAAACACAAAAATACCCAGGGAGTCTGTATTCCACTCCATGCTCCCAGACTGTTTACAACACTTGATAAGTTTAAATCTTTTATCTAATTCCATACTATTCAAACAAACATGGTTATTCGTAAATCACAGCTGTCTGCTACAATAATAGCATCACACTGTACCATTTAACAAGATTAATGACCTGTGCACAGCATCACTAAAACTTTCCCAGTGTTCTCCTGATATACATCAATTATCAGTCTTCCTGTTCAAAGGCACAATTTCACTTCATTAAAAATCCTCAGTGATGTTTAAGTAATATCAGTGCCCATAGCCACCTTCAAAATAATATTACCTCAGCATCTCAGAAAGATTTCTGCAGTTTGTTAGAAAACATATGTATTATTTAACATTTTAGTAACGATACACAAAACCAATAAACAAAGGTATTTTTTAACTGCATTTTACACGGAAGAATTAGTTTATAAATAGTGCTCTACCCCTGTGTTTGCACTGGCTTTGGCACATGTTTGGTAAGAGTCTTTTTTATTTGCTTTTCCCCTGAGAGTGTCTCAAACTCATCTCTCAATATTCCAGCCTGTCAGACCACTCCAGGACTTGGGTAAGTGTGAAGACTAAAAGAAAGGATGGAGAGGTATGTGGAGTAGGAGGAGAGGAGATTGAGTCAAGAAAGACAAGGTCGGGCTGACTCATTTCCTCCTCCTCAGCGGCTCCTTTCAGATCTGTTTAGGTCTCATCACTACATCCTTACAGCCAAGCTGAATGTGAATGTGTTTAAATCGCATCTCGTCATCATTATTAACGAAGATACACAGCACAGTCAGGCATCCCAAATAGGTGACTTGTAGCATTTCCGTATATAGAAAGTTTAATTCTTCAGATGTCTGTATTTTCTCTCATTAAAATGTGAAAATGTTGTACATGGGTGTGTCAGAGACAAATCACACTGCTTTAAAAAAACCTACTTTTTTCATTTCCTGTTCTGTTGCCATTGAGTTGATTCCCAATCACAGCAATCCTACAGGACAGCAGAACTGCCTCCTGGAGTTTCCAAGGAGCAGCTGGTGGATTCAAACTGCCGACCTTTTGGTTAACAGCCGAGCTCTTAACCACCGCACCACCAGGGTTCCACACACCGCACTTAGCTCCATATAAATTATTGTAATCAGGTAAGATTACCATCACCATCAAAACAAAGAAGAAACGTTCCTGTAATGAATATTTGGAACTTTGGCACAAGAAGAAGAGAAGTCTGTTTAGAAGTCTGTCATAATCACGTGGTTACCTCAGACCTTACCTCATCACTACTCCACCGATTGGGGAACGAGGGACGTAGCTTCTTGATACACACAATCTCTCTCATGTCCTCGTAGGAGGGGTCACTGGGCACCAGATCATGATAAGGAAGCTGGTATTCTTCTACTATACCTGAAAATATGCTTTTATTATTACTATTTTCTGTGAAGTGGAAATAAAAATCTAAAACACGCCAACTATTCTCAAAGGGTGCTATCAGTATTAAAGACAGGATCAATTTTTATAAAAAAGGAAAATGAATTTTGAAAAAAAATTTGCCCAAATGATA